CCGTTCTGTTAGCATTAATGAGTCCGGGCATTCTTGACTGAATTCTTTCATTAACAGGGTGTTTTTGGCCACAGAAATGCCATTGACTGATTCATCACACATAGACATTGACACTAACTTTTGTAGTGTATGTACATGTAATTATGGCTAAGAACTGAAGGTGCAAGATACCTACAGTATTTTGATTGTTAGAATTTTTCACTATTAATATTATTATACTCTCTGTCATGGAGAGTATGGGAGTACGAGATTATGGTAGCCCATAGAACACCTTGGTCAATTTTGATGAGATTTGGCAAATTTATCCAGGTATCTACCTATACATTGCATATACTGTGTTTCTTATTCTTATATCTTGTACTGACACTTTCTTGCATCTTTGTGGTCTTGCTAGCTAATTTCGTTGTCCAGGCAACTGTACAATGACAATAAAAAGACTTGAAGTCTTGAAGTCTTGAAGTATCAAATTTGAGGTTAATCCACCCACCTCTGCAGCACCACCAACAGACCAAATTTCAAGGTACATTTTTGCTTTTAGCATTTGAACTGTTTGTCCTATGGTTTTCCCCTAAATCCCAGGTCATCAGGGTTCGAATGCACAGCTGTTTTTATGCTTCACTAATCACACTGATTACAGTTGATCACAGGTAGAAGCCAGTAACCATGGTCTGCAGTGGACATGGTGGTTACTTACACCTGATTGAGTTGATATTGTTTAGGAGGGGAGTGATCCTTTATTAATCTCAGTATTTATTTTTTATTTTTTACAATTCTTCAGAACTGTAGCTGTAATATCTTTCACTTGGATGTTACAGGTTGCATTGAGTAAGTAAAGCTGGAAAAAATATTGGTTTGTGTGTTCTCACTTAAGGCTGTAAAGGGAAAAAATGGGAATATTTCGAAGGGGGTGATTCTTTCATTATCAGAATGAAGCACGTAGTGTAACTGAAAGAACATTTGGATTGCTGGATGTGTTTCAGATATTTAGATAAGTCAGGTGGAAAATTACAGTACAGCCTTCAGAAGGTCGTGTCATTCTTTGTGGCATGATGTATGTTGCATAACATTGCCGTGCTTGATGGATGTCTGTTGGACATAAACGAGGACACATGAGAGGACTTTAGAAGGCGTGATGCTAAACTGCATGTGTCGATGCCAACAAACGAGTTTATGCTGGCAGCAGCGCGGGCAAGGAGGGTCAGCTGGCAGAGGAGCTGAATCCTCTGTAGCCTGGTAAGGAATCTAAATTGTGAGATGTAGTAAAATAACAGCCTTATTGCCCTTTATTTAAACATTTGAAAACACCTTAAATGAAAAAGCATAATTAAGTCCCTGTTCCCAGCTGCTGCTCTCATTCACCCCCTAACAATGTGGAGGTTCTAAGGTATGGGTGTGTCTGCACTCAGTTTGTACCTTATTCCTATGTTCATGTAGGTTTCCTCTGGATGTTCTGTTTTTCCATCATGGTCCACATTCAGCACATTCAGGTAATGTCAATTGAAAATGGTACATCACCCATAGGTATAAGAGCGTGTGTCTGTTCACCCTGTGATGGACTGGTGTCTTGTTCAGGGGCTGTTCTGATTAGTTGCCCACTTGGTGGCCCAGTGGTACATGGCCCATTCATATAACTATGGGTCCAATCAGCGTTAACTGCTGGATCCCTATTGTGTTTGTCTTCATTATTATCCATTGTATTACTTTTCTAGGCATTTCTCTAAAATCAGCTTTTCTACATTTCTATTAACCACATTTTAGGGAATTTGAACGACTGCTTATTTTTACTGCGAAGGTCCATTTGCACATGCTTTACGATGTCTGACAGGCACAGTCACACTTCTGCTATAACTGGAACGAGTCATTTTTTGTCAGGAATCTGAAATGATGACAGTGGTCATTCTGTTGGTCTAGTGGTATTTCTGCCAAACCATAACAATTTCATGTTTAAGCAGCTAATATGTTTGTTTCCAGAGAACCGTGTCTTTGTGTTCCTCACCATGCTATTGCAAAGGATATAGATCGGCAGCCTGTTTGGTTTGGCTCGTCTCTTTTACTTGTTCAGTGTTCCTTGTGTTCTTGTTCCTTATAACAGAGAGGCCCTATCTCAATAGCCCTTCACTTGTGTAATACTGATCCTTAAGATGATTCAGTACAGTCTTAGCAGCACCTCCCATTAAACACCTGTATTATGTAACTAAAATAACATTTGAAATAAAATCTATTGAGGCACGCTGACCTATGGCCAGGTCATCCAGATATACCTAGCAGTGGCTAATGCTGTGAATTGGAGATCAATATTATGTTTATTAAGGTTTATGAAACTGAAATATGATAATTTTATTGGTATGAGTATTCAAATTCTGCTTTAAAACATTTTTAACAGTAGAACATAGATTTATAAATTATAATCTAATATAAATTCTAAATCTAGTATAAATTCTAATCAATGACATGAATTAATGGTTAGATGAATAGCTCTTTTTTTGGAAACTTATTGATTGTATAGTGTGTGCTGTCATATTGATATTGTAATGAATTCCAGTGCCCATGACAAACACTTAATAGGTCATGTGATGCAGTTACTGTTTCATGGTCAAGATCTATTTTACTGTGAATAGCCAAGCAAGTAAATGATTGACTAATTTCCAAAAGGCATAAAGTTAAAGATGACACATTTCCTGAGATATTTTAGCAAGACTACTTTTTATTTCCACCTTTTACAGTTTCAAATAACAAAAAAATATAATGAAGTGAAGAAAAGGTTTGGGCCCCTGCATGGTCAGCACTTATTAATACTCTCTTTGGCACGTATGACAGCTTGTAAACACTTTTTGAAGCCAGCTAAGGGTCTTTCAATTATTTTGGGGGGATTTTCACCCATTCTCCCTTGAGAGAAGCTTTTAGTTCTGTGAGATTCTTGGGCCATATTGCCACTGCTCTTTTGAGATCATGTATAGGTTAGGGGACTGTGAGGGCCATGCTGAAACCTTCAGCTTAAGGATGGTGTGATGTTTGCTTCAAGAAGTTGCTGGTTTTTAATTAAATCCATTCCTCCCTCTACCAGTAAAATGTTCCCTGTGCCACTGGTTGCAACACAAACCCAACAATGACCAAGCCACCCCTATGTTTAACAGTAGGAGAGCTGTTCTTTTCATGAATTCTCCACCTTTTTTCTCCAAGTATTCCTTTGCTCATTGTGGCCAAGAAGTTTTATTTTAACTTCATCGGTTTGCATGACTGGTTTCTAAAGCGCATCAGCTTGTTTGGATGTTCATTTGCAAACTTCTGAGTGGGTTTTATGATGAGGATGCAGGAGAAGGTTCTTCTCCGATGACTCTTCCATAAAGGTCATATTTGTGCATGTGTCACTGCAGAGTAGGACAGGGCACCACCATTCCAAAGTCTGCTAAATATTCCTGATCTTTTGAGGTCAAACAAGGGCGTTGATTTGCCTTTATAGCAATCTGCTCTTTCACCTTGATCTCCACCATTCCTGTTAACTGCCATTTCTTAATTACATTATGAACGTGGGAAATAGCTAACCTGAAATGCTTTGATATAATCTGATAGGCTTCCCTTGCATTGTGAGCATCAATTATTTTAATTTTCAGAGTCCTAGGCAGCTACTTAGAGGAGCCCTTGACTGCTTCAAACTTGACTATTTTCAAATTTGCATCAGCTAACGATGATTGTGAACAAACCATAGCCATAACAAGCTAATTAAGAACTGAAAACTTGGTCAAAGTTATCTGAGAGTTCAAATCTCTTGGGGTGCCCAAACTTTTGCATGATGCTCCTTTAATTTTTTTTTTTTTTGCACTGTAAAATTACACAAAACAAAAATAATACACTGATCTTGATTCAAATTTTGTAAAGAATATTTCATCTTTATGCATTTTGCAGATCAATTAATCTTCTACTCACTTAATTATTCACCGTAACAGAAATTCCACACATTAACAGAAACAGAAAGTTTTTAATTAAGAAGTTTAGTTTTGGTATACTTTCCTCTGACTAATGTTACTTGCTGTTGGTAAATTTACTGACAGCTAAACATATATGTAAGACACAGACCATTATTCTGTAAATATTAGTAATTGCCTGTAAACTGGCATTAGCTTGCGTGATTGATTGTCATCACCTACAAGACATTTGTCCTGACAAAAATGTCGGGGAAAATGGTGCATGCCCACTTGTCCTTCATTGAATGATTAAATAGGTCTCGAGTTGAAGACAGGCAAGTGTTTTACGATTAAATAAGTACATGAAAAGTTTACAGCATTGTGTTTTATTGCGTATATTAAACTAAAAAATGCATGAAATTGGTAGTTAAAGTGAGGCCCATACCACCTTAAACATTAGTGCACCCTTTGACCTGCTCCTCTGTCTTTAGATGTATGAGTTTGTTTGATCTGTGTGCTGTAATTTTTCACAGTTCGGTAAATAACACGGGACAAAGGAATTCTCTCTGAACGCCTTACCTACTTTCAGCCTGGCCAACCACACCAAAACAAAAAAACAGGGCCATGCAAACACACACGATTGTGAGATCACGATTCACGTCTGAGAAATGATGTAAGAGATGAAGTTGCCGAATATGGGGGGGAAAATGGGAGCGTCCTTTTGGTAGGGGCCGTGATAAAGGGCTCTTGCCGCTGGACTATAATAGGAGAAGGTCCGTCTTTGAGGCTTCAGAGCTGATTTTATTCATTTTCATCACAATGATGAACAGAAACTCTGTGCTTCTACTGCTCACCATCCTGGCAGGTAAGCTGAATGAATCCGAATGATATAACAACTGAAATATAGGAATGCATGCAGTCTGGCGATGGCATTTTCACATAACAATCAATCTCCTATTCAGGCTCAACCAGGGTTAAAGGCGATGACATCGCCGCCGATGACACAAGATCGTGTGAGTGATTTAAAAGCAAATGGAACAATGGCAGTAGCCAGTTTCTATATGTGTTGTATCCACCCGAAGGCAAAGTTTCTCGTGTGAATTTTCAGGCTAGCTGTAAATGCCGTGGTCACAAACCCAGCTAATTTTAAATCAGATTGCAATTGTTGCTGGAATAGACCTCAGACTTACGTTAATTATGTAGTATATCTAAGCAATGTAAAGATAGTTTCTAAGACAGTGTGTAAATATTATGTGTTTAAGGTCTTAAAATACGAATTATAATTTCTATTTAGTTTCATTTAATATTGTACACTTCAAAATGTATATTTTCATTTAATATTCTTGCATCGATTCATAATTATTGTTTACAAATGCAATAGTTAAAAATTACATAGAGTATATATTTTTACGGCATTAATTTTAACTGGTTATGTAATTGTGTAAAAACTATGCCATTAATATTTTTTCTGTGCCTGGGTGAATTATGCAAACAGATAAACTGAATTTTCTGTTCAGTAGCCCATATAGTTACTGTGTTATTTCTGTCATCTAGCTGGACCGACAAATGTGGTAATATCTGGACCAGGCGTAGTTACGGTTGGAATTCCATACGGATTCTCATGTACAGCCGACTGTTACCCTTCATGTAGCTATACCTGGAAGTCGGATGGGAAAACAGTTCAAGGAGCAGAGCTAGACATCCTTCTCAAACAGCTGGTCGGCTCTGAAGTCCTCACGTGTGAGGCAAAGAATACAGTCTCTGGGCAGTCTGCTACAGTCACGAGGAGTCTTTTAGTGACACGTAGGTAGCTAATAATGTGATAAAGGCATTTTTACAGCTTAGTTATCACTACATACTGAAATATGCAAACTGTGATTATATCTCTTGAGGTCAAAGGAGTGAAATTAACAAGATTGATTAAAGAATAATTCCACATAAACAAACCGGATGTGCAACACGATAACCATTTCTTTTTCTTTTCCTAGAGGGACCGTCAGATGTGGAAATCGCTGGGGTGGATCTGATGGTAGCCGGGACATCATCTAAGTTTTCATGCTCGGCTTCCTGTCACCCAGACTGCCAGTACTACTGGAACGTTGACGGCAGTGAGCAAAGCGAGCAGAGCAGCGAGATAGAGATCACTGCACAGCAGTGGATGCTTACAGTGCAACTCATTTGCAAAGCGTGGAACGACATCTCTATGCTCTTCGCCGAAACGGTGAAGACCATCCAAGTGGCGGGTAGGTGACTGACTGCAGCACAATGATTCCAGTTGATAATCCCAGGTTTTTTCTTTCACATACTGCCTGTGTTGCACAGCTTTCATGCTGCAGTTCAAATACATGCATTTAGGTCAGTGTTTCCCAATCCGGTCCTCAGGGCCCCATAGCCGGTCCACATTTTCACTCCCTCCCAGCTCCTAATTGGGGTCAGCAAAAACATGGACTGTCTGTGGGTCCCTGAGGAAAGGATTGAGAAACAATGATTTTGGTGAATTGGTGGCTCTGAACTGCCAGTAGTCGAGTGTGCATGCCCTGAGCAGGACTAACATGCAGGTCCTACAACTGACATGTGCCCCGTGCTGCCTGGTTCTGATGGATCCTGATAAGGTGGAATCATCTGAAGGGTGTCAGCTAAAACGCCGGTACCAACGGGGTGAAGCTTCCCTAGGTCTTATGTTCTTAAGGTCTCCACATGGGTGTCAATGGCCACTAACCCCCCCGCCTCTAATGACCTTGTACTGGATAAGAGGTTGAAAGACAAGGCGGAAGGATAGATGGATTAAACAATAGTAATTAGACGGTAATGATAGAGTTTCTCTTGCAGATGGACCAACAAACACAGAAATAGTGGGACCCAGTGCAGTGAAACCTGGAACCACCTACACTTTCCTGTGTTTGGCCTATTGCATTCCATCCTGCAGCTTCACCTGGAGCATCTATGGGAAAACATACAATGGGGATAAGCTTGTCTTAACTGTCGAGGCAACAGAGAACTCTGAAACTCTGACATGCATTGCCGAGAACACTCTGTCCAGAGTCTCGGTCACAGTCAAAAAGACCATCCCCCTGACAGGTTGGTAAATTGTGGAATATGACTAAACGCCATTGACTCATGTGTTAACTCCTCCTCTGAGTTCAAAATCCACACTCGGGTAAGAGCACTGTTGCATTAAAATAATAGAATAAGAGATATGATGTATTATGCTGTGTAATGAGGCCAGAGATTATCTGACGTTTCAAGCTTTTGTTGTCACATGTATTCAGGGAACACAGTGAAATGGGGGGGTTAGGACAAACAGCATTGCGATATTGGACAAGACAGTGTAACACTAGACAAGACTATGCAATATAAGAACAAAAAAGTTAATATATAAGTACCTACAGCAGTATGGGGATGAAAATGTGCACAATGCGACAGTATAGATTATTTACTGTAAGTTTGTTTTTGTTTGTTTTACTCTAGAAACAATACGTTAGCTACATTCAAAAGCAACTTGCATTTTTTTTCCGAGTAGTTCCTCTTTATCTATAGTTTACGGAAAAAAAGTTTCTCATTCTTGCGATATTAAATTTATGTATTTCATTAACTAACCAATCTCAGGATGTTCACTGTTGCGTTAAACGTAAAATTTATTCCGACCAGCACTTTTCAAAATGCAGTCATCTGACTATGTCCCTGAAATGATAAGGCTATAAATTGAAATGTCTCTCAATTGTCCACCAGATCCGATCTCAGTACAGCCAGCTTCTGTCCTGCCGCCCACCGACGACAGACCCTTCTCTTTGAATTGTATCGGTGCTGGTCCTGCTGCCTCTGTCCAGTGGCTCAGGAACAACCACCCTGTGATGCTCAGCGACAGGGTCACTCTGTCTACGAGCAACACCACACTGTCCTTCTCTCCACTGCTGCGATCTGACGGGGGATTCTACCAGTGCAGTGTCATCGAGGGAGCCGTGGTGACACCGAGCCTGGAATATCACATGGTTGTCAACTGTGAGTTTTACCGATGCGGCCACAATTCTCATTTTGGTGGTCACCATAGCAACCCCATACGACAGCTAGCTGCCAACAGGTCTGTGTGGTTCCATGTTGACGTTTGGTTCTTCTTTAGATGGGCCCTTGAATGCGACCATCGTAGAGATCGGTGGAGGTCCAGTTGGCTCGGAAATATCTGTAGCTCCGGGATCATGGGTGACCCTAAAGTGTGTGGCTGAGTGTCACCCGGCATGCAGCTACACCTGGCTGCTGGGGGAGCTGGTACAGCAGGGCGACCTCCTCTCCCTCACCCCAGTGAATGCGTCCGATAGCGGGGCGCTAACCTGCCTCTCGTACAACACAGTGACCTTCAGCTTCACGTCTGTGACCTCTACTGTCATTGTCAACTGAGAAGGATGCTGGCAATTAGATATGTTTATTTTTTTATTTGATGAATTAAACATCTATTTGATTTTGATTATATGTAACCCATAGGGTGTGGTCTGTATGGTGATTTACATCATGTTGCAGTTACATAGCTGTTACTGAACCCATTTGTAATGTTTCCAATGCGTGTGATGTTCCCCTGTAACAAAACTTAATATGCAGTATGTTACATTTCTATGATTTAAAAAAATAAAGGATAGGCTGTTCAGATCTCTCTGTGCATGGTGGTGTGGTGCAGGCCCGTAGCCAGAAATAAATTTTCGAAGGGGTGGGTCCAGCAAATTTTGAGGCTGCAATTTTACTACATGGCTTCATGCCTGGTTTGCTGGGCCAATAAAGAATGATATAACTATCAGTGAATCTGGCTCCTTTTAGAAATTGCAGTGTACTCCAGTGGCCTGCAGGGGGAGCCAGCCTTGCATTGATTCATTCCATGACCAGTTAGGTAAACCATGTGCAATTTTTTCATGTCCACGGGTATTTCAGCTATGCGAAATGGTTTAAGTAAGAGATAGGTTAAGCATATTATTAATTCACATTCTTCTAATTCAAATTAATGTGTGTGCACTTTGAACCTAAAATTCTTCATCTCACTGAACTCACAGTCTATTTTTATTCCTGAAAAATTTCACCCATTTCATATGGTGATTTAAAAAATGTGATTAGAAACAGCAACAGCTATTGGGGGAGGGTGTCTTCCAGAAATGCTACTAGACCTGTAAAAATATTGAAAACTAAGAAATGTAATCAACATCGGCTTCACAACGGAGAAAGAAAGAGAGAGGGTGCTTGGTATGCTATATTAATTTAATTTCATAACAGCAAAAACCTGACATAATACTTCAGACCTGGAATGACTCTCAGGGTGTAGTACACACTATATTACCCTGTAGTCTGTTGTAAAAATAGGGCCACAAGATTCATTTATGGACAACAGTTCCCATTTTTCAGCTTTACTGTCATTATAAACGTTTGTATGAAGTGTGGCTGTCTATGGATGAAAATCAGAGTGAAAGAATAAAAAAAACTGAATCAGAAAAAGAATATTGCACTGCACCTATAGCTTTAGGCCTCGCTGGTATTGTGGAACAGCTGCAGACGGCTTGATCTGAGAATGATGTGAATAAAACTGGAGGTAGAGCCACCTGCTAATTCACCAGCTACTGTGGTTGTGGCTCTTTCTGCCCGCATGGCTCCAGGTGGCACCGCCGAAGCGGCCGACACAGCGGCACAGGTGGCTGCAGCGAGACTTTGCGGACATTTGTGCGGCCATGTTATCGGGCAGATACTTCCTGTGGTTTCCTGCCGTCGCTTTCGTCTCCCCTCATCCCCAGGGGCCGCAAGGCGCTGCAGCTGCCGGGGCTCCCGTGTGGCTTCCACGGCATGACGACATGGTTGCATGGGGCAGCTCGGGTAGCAGGAGAAGAACACCTGCCGCACTCATGCCAGTGATTTATATCTGAAAGAGGAAATATTCTCCTGACCGTATCGGTAAGTAGCTGCTGAGAACACTTACTGGTTTGCCGAAGAGCTTTTTTTTGTGAAAAAAAATAAACTGAAATATTTATGTTCCTTCTTGTGGAGCCAGTGCCTTTTTAAATGGTTTATAAAAGTGCTATTTTGATGTGAAAACAGTAACTCTTAGGTCAGCTATGAGCAAGCAGAGATGACTGGTCACCCCGCCCAGGTTTAAACAAGTAATGACTCACAGTAATTAATCTGTCTGGTTACTTAAACAGTTAACACCTTCAGTGATTTGCCCAGTATTGCAGCCAGCTGTGTAGCACTGTGTAGTGTGTAGTAGCCGTGTAGTGTGTAGTAGCTGTGTAGTGGCACTTAACCTACAACAGTATCCCAGCATATCTTGGATTGTTTGGTTATCCTGTTCGCTTCTGCAAGTGGGTTCACCTTTCCCTATTCATGATTACGTTTTGTAGTCAGAGATTTTCTATTGTTTCTAGTTCCTGGAAAATAAAGGTTGTTGTTCTGATTATCTAGATCAGGGGTGCCCAACTGCAGTCCTGGGGGGTATTCCATGAAGGAGGATTTCTTGCTTAGCCAGATAACATCTTGGATTTAAGGTAGTCTGGGCTAAATGGACTTAATTTTCGTTCCCTTATATTTAGCCCAGACTACCTTAAATCCTACAAGTTATCCATCAAAGCAAGAAATCCTGTTTCGTGGAACAGCCCTCTGGGGGCCGGAGCCCTGTTTAGCTTAGTTCTTTCCCTGTTCCACCATAAATGATTCAGCTCAAGAGCTGTGTGGTAATTAGCACAAGGAGTTGAATCAGGTGTGTTAAATGAGGGGAAACCCAAAAATGTGCAGGGCTCTGGCCCTCCAGGACTGGAGTTGGGCACCCCTGATCTAGATGATATATGACAGAATAATGAGCCAACCATCAACCCAGTGGAACAGGAACAACAGAAACAGCAACTGAGATATGTCAGTTTCACCTCCTGAATCCCAAAGTATCAAAGGCAGTGAGGGATTTTTCTATTAAACGTCGACCAGGGAAACAGTTCCGGGCAGCTTTCATAGGAACCCAGAACGGTGCTGCAATTTTATTTCAATTTCCAATGAAGAACTTGTTTGCTATTATTTTTTACTGTCAGGACCTGCCCTTGTTTGGGCTGCCACCATATTGGGCAAACAGTCTGCACACCTGTGATGGGAACAGACTTACTGTATATAGAATCTATGGATTCTTTTCATTCAGTAGAATTCCTCACACCTGCTGTCAAAAGCAATTATAACCAAAAGGACCTAGTAATAGCATGTTGCGGGGGTGTATTGGACATCGTCAAGATGGTTTATTGTGCTGTTGGTATGGATTTCAAATCATTGATTGCCTTATGAATAAGAACTTACAATTTATAAAGAGAACAAAGAATTTAGTAGTGGTAGTGGATCCCTTCCCTCAGACAGCTATACCCTAGGCCTCCTTGTGCATGAGTGGGGAATACTTACTGAGATTTACTTGACTATTGTCACTGTTCAACCTCTAGCTGGGAAACCCCACTGGGCCAGGAAAGGTTGCATCATACTTCTGTCAGAATGAGGGAAGGAGAATCCCATATTGATGAAAGTCAGCTCATGGTTCATGGTTACCCAATCCCTCCTAGTTTTAGGGCTTGCCTGGCTCCACTCACATGAATCTCACATATTATGGACTTTGGGGGACAAACAAGTCCGATCCATAGAGGCCCCACCTCGCGACTTTAAGGGTTTACCGTCTTAATGTCTTGGTGCCCGGTACCAAAGGATACCTTCAGGAGTCTTGTGGAGGACTTGGGGAGTCAGCTGTTGCACATTTTGCAAATAATATGCTTATTATTATTATTATTATTATGTGTGGCTGGGTGATAAAACAATAACGATAATTATCACGAAATGATTTCCCCTCAATATGAGTTTGGCAAATGTCCGATATGATTTGAGATCCGGCGACGTATTTTGCGTCATGATGAAATGACTTCACTTCCTCTATAACTGCTTATCTGGAGCGACAATGGGGCACAAGTACAGACACAGCTGTAAAAATAGAAACAGGTGATATATTGAATAAAAAAGAGAATGCAGAATGGCAAGCAGGAAGATGAAAGACAACACAATCAAAACCACAGATCAACTCTACCGGGAGAGCAGGCAAGGCCAAAGCAACCCGTCCAATAAGGGTAATCCAGTGAGATCAAAAACGAAAGTGCATGGTAAAATGAAGTCAATGAGAAAATCCACAGAGCAGCACTCTACAGAGAATGCTAGCAGCGGTGTTTTTGGCGCTAAAATAACCTGACCTGCCTCCATTCACCTACAAACAACAAACGCACAGCAAGGTTTGCTGAGCTGGCATTCCACATGCTACTATCTAGTAATACTCTTGCGTCACGGGAGAGAAAAGCCTCCCTCAGTGTAAACTTTGGTGTCCGTGAAGAAAGCACAGCAGCCACGGCATCTTTTTAAAAGGGAGATATTGTACATAGACCAGACAAAAAGACGTCATTGGTGTGGTGGTACTTTGGCAATTTAAAGAAGCCTAAGACTGGTGCAGACTAAATCTGGAAATACTACAAATTTATTGCACCACTCGATGCATTGCTATCCAGTAGATCATACAGAATGCAAGCATGTACAGTCACAGACACCAGTAATTGGTGTTGCAACTTCAAAACGGGACACATTTTATATTTCAATACCAGGTGGGTGGCAGCTCTACTAACAATGTACAGTAAAACCCGCCCCGGTAACGAGCAGCGAGGCGTTCGGAGAAAAAACCCAGCAGCAAACTGCACTGTCAGTGTATTACTAGTGTTACACCCTATGGCAAAAATATTTATTGAATGATTTATTTATTTAAATTATATTTCATTTTACAGTCCATTCAATTTGTCATCCTTTTCATGTTCTGTTTAAGGGGAATCTGTGTAAGGGGAATCCTATGGGAATTCTAAGCATAAATAGAGCCTAAAAGTAAAGAAATAATTAATTATTATTGAAAGTAACAATTCATGAATTATATTGTGATAATTATCGATATCGACTGATATGAAAAATTTGATCGCACTGCCATTTTTGGGTATATCGCCCAGCCTTAGTGTGAAGCCTGCATGACGAGAGCACATGACCTCATTTCCTTGTGACCGTGCACAGTGACACCAGTCATTGTCATTGGGGGTCCGTGTGTGGCTTGGTGGGCTAAGCTGCTATGCCTGTGATTGGAATGTTGCCAGTTCAATCCCAGGCTCAGCATATCTGTGGGCCCTTGAGCGAGGCTCTTAAGCCCCAGCTCTCTGGGTGCCACTACAGGTCACTGCCTTTCATGACCAAGCTTGATCTCAGCTATAGAAAGCAAGATGGGGGAGGTGAAAAAGAATTTGCCCACAGGGATCAATAAAAGCATCGTCATTGCTAACCATTACTTTGATTTTGAATTAAATACGCATTATGCACTGAAAAAAAACATT